ACCTCTACGGTCACTTTGGAGATGAGGGCTTCAGTGTGAACACGGGGATGTCACACAATTCAGTGCGTGGCGACACAATCAGCTGGAAGTGCCTTGAGCGGTTAGGAGCAAGCACGGCCTGAAGCCTTCTTCCTTCCTCTGCCTTATTCTGGGTTGTGTGGCTGGGGCCACTCCATCTGCCTTGGGCTTCCACACCGGATTCATCTTGAGTGGAAGAGAGACCTTTACTGTGTGAAGACACTGATACTTTAAAGACTTTTCATTGCAGCGTATCCTGCCTCATCTTGGATGGATGCAGGGGTTTTTCAGACATATAATTCATATTTTTAGCTATACCTTAACTTACCCTATGTTCTTGTCTCTGGTAGGCTGAAGGCAGGATCTTTCTCTTCCATCAGGGCCCATCTGTAAAGCTGAGTTTCTGCTCCATGAGTATGAGAAACATTTCCCTCCTTATCAAAGGTAGTTAGCCCAACAAGGGCCATATTTCTTGACCTTCCCCATTTCCTGGAACTTTATACAGATTCTCCAGTATCATCAGATTGTAAAATCAAGCTCTTACAACTAGGATGAGACGTAGGCAGAGCTTCTCAGGGATGTAAGGCAGAGGCCATTTTTGTTGCGTGGGTTCTGTCACACCCATTTTGAAGAAGAAGAATTTTGCTGACTTTCTTACATTGCCTTCTCTTTCTGTGTGTCCCTTTGTGAGGTAGCAGGATTGCTCTTTTCCCACCATGAGGACTGTGAGACACACAGGCCCATGTGCATGCTACTCGTGAGGGATGTGTGTCTTGGGCAGACTCTGGCCTCTGTCTGAGCTTCAGTTTTCTTGGGACTGTGGTGAGAGTGAGTGGAGGCAAGGCACAGTGTAATTATCCACTCAGATGCCTGTGGCTGCGCTCGATCTGCTCTTACACAATTTCTAATCTGTTGATCTGAAGGTTAGGATGGTGTCATTTGTATACAAATAAAAAGAAAAAACCTGGGTCAGGACATCCAGAGGGAATTTAGCATCTTCTGGTTATGAATGATTCCCCTGAGCACTAAAGGGCAGAAGAGGATCTGGAACATCTAACACAGAAATGTTAGATGAGAGAAAATGCCCCTTTGTGGTACTAAATACCACCTCATTTAGAACACTTGGCTCAGTCTGAGAAGAGAGAAGAGGGAGAGTTTCTGGCCAGGCTGTGGCATCGTTGGAGAAGGAGGAAGAGTAGGAAGAGAGGGGAGGAGGGAGGAAGGAAGGAGAGGGGAGAGAGGAGGGAGGAGGAGGAAAAGGAAGAGGGAGAGGAGGAGGAGGAGGAGGAGGAGGAGGAGGAGGAGGAGGAAGAAGAAGAAGAAGAAGAAGAAGAAGAAGAAGAAGAAGAAGAAGAAGAAGAAGAAGAAGAAGAAGAAGAAGAGAAAAAGAAAAAGAAGTTGTAAAACAAGGGTGGAGTTGAAAATAGAAACAAAAAGTAGCTCAAAAACACCCACAGCATGGGAACCTTGCCCCGCACTTTGGGTTCACTAAGCTCCCTGGGAGAGTGTGCCAGAAGGGCAACTAGGCTGTTACACAACCAAAACATTGCTCAATGCACGCTCTTCACACGGTGCCACACCATGCCTGAGGTGCCGTCCCAAGGGAAGGGCTGGGTGGGAAGCTCTGGCAAAAGCGACTTTTAGAAGTGCTGGACCTGTGCCTGGCACTGGAAGGCTGGGCTGAGTCACCTCTACCAGGCCCCAGTGGAAGGGAGCAGGAGAGAGGGGCACAGGGAAAAGAAAGCATCCTGTTTTTCTCTCTGGTGCCATCACTCATGTTCAGATGCACGTCAGGCAAACATTCTCCCTGGCTTGCACTTTTGAGGCCGTTTAATTTTTTATAGTTGAGTATGAACAATGAAAGCAAGCAGTTTCCTGTTTCTCAACCTCATCCCCCTCCAACCACTGAGGAATTTGGGCTTAAACGGCCAGAAAGTAACATTTAAATCCTATAAATTAGCTTCCCTAAAGATGCTTAAGCATTTATGAAAACATTCACATTTTATATTCTTCGCAATAAAATCTTAAATAAAAAAGAAGGAAAACTACCCCAAATGCCCTGTGAGCTAAGCTGGCAGACAGCAAACAGTTTAGAGCCAGGATGCCCACAGGATGCCCACAGCTTCACAAATGAAGAAGCTGGAACCAGGATGGAGGCTGCCATGTGTCAGAGATAAAGTGAATATTCTTAGCCTTTGTGGGTAGAGTCCCTGGAGACTCCCTCAGGCTAAATCCCTTGGCCTGGGAAACAACCGACAGTGTTAACCCAGTTCTATCCAGGTTGATGCCAACCTAGTGTTAACCCATTTATCCCCCAGTTGATGGCAGTCTACAGTGTTAACCCATTTATCCCCCAGTTGATGGAAGTCTACAGTGTCAACCCATTTATCCCCCAGTTGATGGCAGTCTATAGTGTTAACCCATTTATCCCCCAGTTGATGGAAGTCTACAGTGTCAACCCATTTATCCCCCAGTTGATGGCAGTCTATAGTGTTAACCCATTTATCCCCCAGTTGATGGAAGTCTACAGTGTCAACCCATTTATACCCCAGTTGATGGCAGTCTACAGTGTCAACCCATTTATCCCCCAGTTGATGGCAGTCTACAGTGTCAACCCATTTGTCCCCCAGTTGATGGCAGTCTACAGTGTTAACCCATTTATCCCCCAGTTGATGGAAGTCTACAGTGTCAACCCATTTATACCCCAGTTGATGGCAGGGGCAGGGAATCCCTCTGGCTCCAGCCTGATTGCTCTGGAGAGCCACTGTGAGACAAATCAGAACTGAACGTCCATCTCAAACTATTAATCTGCTAGTGAGCTTGAGCGATAAATAGCTCTGCTCCTAGCCTCAGTTTATTTCTCTGAAAAATGACGATATTGTATCATACAGGTCTTCAGTGAGGGCTAACACTTGCACTTTTGTAGTTCTATCATGAATATGTTCAAATAAATGTGTTTGAGGACACACACACACACACACACACCCTACAAACTAAGTGTGCTAGTGAAAGAAATGAAGAACACCAGGGTTTTCTTTGCTTACCATTTCCCCAACAACACCTGGGCTCTCTGTGGCTCTGGGGGAAGGAGGTCACACTCTCCTCTTACCTCACCCCCCAATACCCATCCCTTCCACCCACCCCCCATTTCCCACTTCCTGTCAAAACAAAGCAAAGAAAAGAGCTGGAGCTACAGCACGGTGATAGAGCGCTCACCTCACGTTCACAAAGCCTTGGGTTTGGTCCCCAGGACCACAAACAAAATGAAAGAATACTTCTGGCTCACTGTTCTGCAGGTGCCTTAGCATTTTTACACAGATGTGGGGTCCATACATGTAATTCCAACACTCAAAGTTGGAGGCAGTAGAGTAGTAAGTTCAAGGCCAGCCAAGCTACAAGATGAAATTCTGTCTCAGAACACCAAACCAAGCAAAGAAACAGAGGAAGAACTCTGCCTCTTGACTGCATTGTCCCACTCAGAGAGGGACTGGAGCAGATATGGAAGTCCTTGGTTTTGAATGGCTTAGGCTGGAGCCAGGACTTCCCCCATGCTGAGCACAAATGCGCGTGCGTGTATACACACACACACAAAGTTCCAAAAGGGAATTTCCTATATTCTTTATTAAAAATTTTCCTGCCTGATTTTCATCTTCTTTATTCAGCAAAATTAGATGGTTACCCTAAGCGTCACCCACGTAGCTGTGTTCTCAGCAACACTTTGAGATTACAGCTTCCAAGGACAAAAACCCAGCTGAGGAAGAGCTCCACTTGTCACATGCCACTGCCTGCACAGCTTTACCGCTGATGGCCTTTAGTCTCGGGCCATTTCATCAGGGACAAAGGCGGCTGTCCTCAGTCCTAGTGCTTCCTGGTGATGTGCACAGTTGACACTTCTGAGAAGAACTCCCCAGGGTAACGGCCTGTCCCTCTTGCAGGGTCTGGTGGCTACTACCACCCACGTATCACTACAGGCTAAATAGCCACAATGTGTGGGACCACAAGTGTTTGGAAGGAATTTTCCATATATTGGAATATTTTCTTATCTATACTGGGATATACTGGGGATGGAACAAGCCTGAACATAAAATTCATCCATGAGCTCCATACATCCCATGCATAGGCCTGGATTGTAACAATCATTTCAGTGCTCCTGTGTTTTTGATTATGACACATCATATGAGGTCAAGTGTGGAATTTTCCATTTGGTTTAGGTTTTTGGAGTATTTTAGATATCAGGTTTTTCAACTAGTCATATCCAAACTATTTCACTTGAAATGTAACTAGTGTAACTGAGGAACTAAGTTTTCTGTTGCAATTAATGTTCTCTTTTAATGATGTGTAAATATGTGTGGGCATGTGTATATGTGAGTGTAGGTACCCCTAGAATCCAGAAAAGGATACTGAATCCCCTTCTTACAAGTTGGTCGTGATGCATCTGACACGTGTATGGGAAACCACTTCATATCCACTGCAAGAGCACTACATAATCTTAATCACCAAGCCATCCCTCCAGCCCCTTCATGTATGTAACTTTAGATAATTTCTATTTCAACGTATGTGGCCAGTTGCTCTCATTGACAATAGGCTAGTTGTCTGTTGACAATGACATGTGAGACACTATGCACTGAGGATTTGAGTGAAGTCAATGCTCATATTATAGAAACACAGTGTGAACTACATGCAATAGTGTAGACCTCTAATGTGAATTCCATGTGTAATTTAAGTTTCCCTAGTCATCACATTGAGGTAAAAAGAAAGAGGTAAAATAATTCAATAATGTATTTATTTATTTATTGATTAGTCAAAGTTTTGCTTCAACATGTAATCAATAAAAACATTGAGATATTATACATTCTTTTTTCCTATCAGCTCTCCCAAATGTGATGTGTACTATATAGTAACAGCACATTCATTTCATTTGGACTAGCAATACTTTAAGCCTTAATTGCCACAGGTGGCTAGTGGCTAACACTGGGCAGCAATACACGGACTGGAGGAGCCAGCCTAGGCTACCTTTTCTACCTGCTGCCCAGCTTTTCACAGCACTAAATAGAAACACCACTGTGTTTAAAGTTTCTAAGCAGTATTCAACGGAAACTGTTAAACACAAAGCTCACTGTAGCCATTTCTACCAAAGTAGACACAGTTATGCAAAAATATTTTGTGTTTCCTTCCTGAAGATGTTTCTGGTTCTTTCTCTTTGATTTACATCAATTAACTAATTTCACCAACATGTCAATATTTACTGCTCATTATTCAGGAGCATCTACATCTTGAAGAAAGGCAGTGTGGTTGTGTGTCTTGGAATTCCTGAGCTCAGTGCCTGGCAATTTCCATGTCAATAATTCCATTAGTGTAATGGGGCGCAATCGAAGCTGCTCCTGGAATAAGAACGGGTAAGGAAGAAAGCAATCATCGAGAATCATTTAGCAGCAAAGTAGATAACCAATAAGCCAATGATCTGGTCAATGGGTGCTCGACACAATAAGAGCAGAAGATGGTCCTAAAATATCCATTAGCAGAAACACTAACAAATAAATTACCTGATCATAACCGATAGAGCTGGCTGCAGATGACCACGAAGAATTCGGAAGCAATGTGGAAGATTTGCATACCTCCACTTGATTGCCTTTTAGAGTTTGCAAAACCCATTCCCCATCCCCACTCCCACACCAGTCCCTCCTTAACACCTTTTCTACATCAGCTTGGTGTCTTATTCTTCACAGGTAGTAATGAGAAACAGAGAAAGGCCTGTAGATCTCCTGTCTCTCCCGGGAACACCTTGCAGAAACATGCTCAATATTTGCTAATGGCTTTGGAGAAAGCTGTGAAGGTGCAGCCTGTGCTTTTCCCAGGATATCTGAGAGCGAGGCGTGGGGCAGGCTGGGAGGTGAGGTGGGAGAAATAGGTATAAGGATCAGAAGCTCACCTTTAAACTTGGACAGGAAAGGATGTTGTTCGGTCTGTTAACCTGGCTCCTAAATGGAAAAGGGGTGGGGGTGGTGTGGTGTGCAGAAGGCAGTTTCTGTGGTTTGTGTGCTACAGGCAGGCTGTCTGATCAGATCCGTTCCTTCCCCCTTTAGAGCAGTTTATGTCCTTTGATTTCATACACCCCATAAGCATTTACACATTACGAAGTTAGCCGACTGGGAGAAGACAGGATAACGATCTTACTATTATGTATTATTTAACTGGTATTAAGCTTTCATTTGCTTCTCTGGAAGGAGCAAGATTTTCCTTTGCTTAGGAAAGCGATCATGAGTGGGCTGCACATGAGCTGTCTTCACTGTGGAAACCTAGCCCTGCCTTCAAAGAGCTTGGCTGAGAATGGAGGCTGAGACACCGTGAACTCCTTTCGTGCCCCCTTTCCCTTCCTGCTTCACTCTGGCTGTGGAGAAGACAGAAACATTGACTACAGACCAGAGTGGGCCAGGCACTGTGCCCAGCACAGGTTAACAACACCTAATTTTATTGACACTTGTTTCTATGAAGGCACTGTTAGCGCCCCCCAAAAGGGCATTATTTAGAATGTGGAGAGTAGAAAAACTCCATACCCATTCCAGTTACAAAATCCTGTAATGCCAGCATTCTAAGAGAAAATGTCAGCAGGAACCTTTAATGCCTTTTGTTTGTAACAAAGAAAATTAATCCAGGGCTGGCGAGGCAGAGCTATTGTTTAAGGCGCTCTAACTGGAAGACTATAGTGTGTATGTGTTCCTGGGTGTCAGCATCAAGCTGTCGAAGAGGAGACCAGTGGAAACCAGCATCCTCGTCGCTTCCAAGCAGCAAAAAGCAGGAGGGCTCGAGAGCTATAAGCAAAATTCTTCTTTGGAGCAATTTATGGGAAAGCCCTGAGCTGTGCACATCAAAAAGTAAGCAACAGATCCATTCTTTGTAAGAAAAATTATGAGATAAATATTCATATAAAAGTTGATGTTTCCAGGTGGTGGTGGCACATGCCTTTAATCCCAGCACTCGGGAGGCCGAAGCAGGCAGATCTCTCTGAGTTTGAGGCCAGCCTGGCCTACAGAGTGAGTCCCAGGACAGCCAGGATTGTTTCACAGAGGAACCCTGTCTTCAAAAACAACAACAAAAACGTTGATGTTAAAGGGTGGCATTTCTAAAAAGTAAAATTATAACTCATAAAAAATGCAAATTGTACAAAAACGTCAAGAGTTTATTTAACTTAATGAGGGAACAAGCCCAGTGTTCTGAAAGTTCAAGGTGAATTCAGAGAGTAAATAGGTACACAGGCAAGCTAACAAGAACATGGACATCAGCTTTCTCTAATAGACGCAAAGCCTTTCAGAGGAGAGTGGGGGTGGGAGGTTTCCAAAGTTCATTTAAATGTGATGCAGATTCTTCTTCCAGTGTGCAGCTCTACAGAGTTCCTCCCCTGGAATATGCCCCCACTATGGAGACAATGGATCTCATTGTTATGATTAGGTGACAGTAGAGGACACAGGTGAAGGGATTTAGCCGCTGTAATTAAATCTTTGGGACAGAGTAATCAAAAGGAGCTTATCTCAAATAGGTCCGAGCTAATCAAGCAAACCCTTAAAGGGAGAGATTTGGAATAGAAAAGCTGGCCCTGGCCTTTGAGGAGCAGGCTGTTAAAAGCAGAGGGGGGAAGGGAACTGAAGAGCTGGCCCAGTGGCTGCTCTTGCAGAGGACCTGGAGTTCCGTTCCTAGTACCCACCTCACAACTGCCTGTAACCTCCAGGGGATCTGACACCCTCTTCTGGATGCCATGGGCACCCACACTCATACATACATATATCTCCCTCCACACATACACATTTAAAAAAGAAGATTGGAGGGGGCATGGAGGGGAATACAAGCCAAGGCTAGAACAACCCACAGCCAACAGCCAGCAAGAAAGCATGGACCTCAATCCTACAGCTCCAATGTTCAGTCTACCCAGGGCTGTGAACTTGGACAAGGAACTGTTACTGGTGGTCGAAGTCTAGGCTGGGGGTTTCCGGGTTCTAGGTACACACCAAGGGCAAAGCAGCCAGACCAGAACAATCAAAGCTGAGGTGTAGATGAAGAAGAAATGCATTATCACGCATGACTGGGGAACATGTGAGTGACAGTGCTCAAGGGTCCCAACATTGTTCAGGGTTTCATTTTACAGAATTCAAGAGTACACATAGTTTTATTGCTGAAGAGTGTAAAATAGGTGGTTCTCTGTTTTGATTGACAGGCTTGGATTATGTAAGCCTTTGGTCACTGGTAATGTCCCTTCCCATCATGCACCTTATTTTAATCATGTGCATGCCCAATTATGCATAGGAATAGGGGTTTCCCTTAGAAGTTTTCTCAAGTTTGCCTTGCTGAGCATGCACCCCAAATCAGTCTAGGTGGAGTCAGCCCCCACCTTCTGTACCTGGTGAGGTTATGAAATATATTTGAATAAAAACTATCCATAAGGGACATTTTTTGATCATTTTCAAAGGTAGGGCAAACTTATTCCATTGTTTGGAGTAGGGTGTACCTGCAGATCCATGCAAGTGGGGGGAGAGTCACAGTTTGCCATCAGGCTGCTAGGTGCATTATTAGAAAAGATGTGTGTATAGCCCAAGCCAAGTGGAGTCTCAGGATGCTTGCCTGCCTCAGAATCTCAGTCCAGACAAGACAGTAGTGAGGGGTAGCCATTTACCTCCAACTAACACTGAGAAGAAGATTCAGTTAATGCATACCCAAGTGCCTGACCCACAAAAAGTACAAGGTAATGCATCTACATTCTATCAAGATGGTAAATTTGTAGTAGTTTGCTAGGCAACAATGGAAAATGATAGCATATGTCTATCAAAAATAAGCACTAGCATTGGTACACATCCGTTAGCCACAACTAACAACCTTGTGCAGTAGCTCAGGGCCATGAAAACTGCAGACCTCACATGCGCATGGGTCCAGATAATCTCTCAATTTCATTCAATGCGAGCAACTTATCTGGTCCATTTCAAAGACCATCTATATGCTGAAAATGTTTCATTTAGTAAACTACCTGTTTCATAAATAATAGTGTTTATTTTTGTTTTTTCAAGACATGGTTTCTCTGTATAACAGCCCTGGCTGTCCTGGAACTCACTTTGTAGACCAGGTTGGTTTTGAGCTGATAGAGATCCACCTGCCTCTGCCTCCCAAATGTTGGAATTAAAGGCATTCACCACCATGCCCAGAATGTTTTATTTTTAATAGAGGATATATATATATGAGATATATATCATATATAGTATACTATATATCATATATATACTATATAGTATACTATATATGATATATATCATATATAGTGGTGTGTGTGTGTGTGTGTGTGTGTGTGTGTGTGTGTGTATGTGTGTGTGATATGTTCAGGTTCTCTCAGAGGTCAGAAGAGGGCATCAGATCCCCTTGAACTGGAGTTGTAGGCAATTTGGAGTTGCAGGATGTTGGTCTTAGAAACCCAACTTCAGCTCCCAGAAAGAGCAACAAGTGCTCTTACCTGCTGAGCCATCATCTCTCCAGGTACTGTCTTGTTTGTTATTTAAAGAAACTTAGTTTCTTCTCCACAAAACCCATTTAGACTACACATTGTTTTTACAGCCATGCGGGTAGGGGTGGCTGACTTCCAGGAGTTCCAGAATGGAGACCCAAGAAGGCTGCAGGAAGGAACCCCCATCTGAGCTTCCCTGTGGATCTCCCCTGAGGGCTAGACTGGACCGTGAGGCTGGAGTTCTCTCTGCAGTTTAAGCTAAGGCTGATTTGACCTGTTTATCCATTTGTTCACTCAGCAAACAAATCTCTGCATCCTAGGTCTAGACAGAGACACAGTAAAGAACAGAGACTATGAAGTCTCCAGCCTCGTAGGGTGTAAATCTAATGGAAGAAGAACTCAGGTTTTGAGAGTTCTGCTGACCATTGTGTTCAGCCGTGAAGAACCTTCTGAAGTTGGACATTGAGACTATACCCATGGGACACCTCAGAGATGATGTAGGTGTTCATCCTCTTGTTGACAGACAGATGCAGGTAAGGCTCTAGGCTTAGCTGAAGGGTTTATATGGATGACCACTGCAACGATTGGGTCCAGATCCTGAAAAAAAAATTCAGACTTAATAGAACACTTTGATCTGTCTTTGCCTGACACATGGAGGCTGTCCTGTAGCCCGGAGAAGAGTCATTTTTTAGTAATAATAATGGCAGTTGGCACATACACTTACCATGTATTAGTCATTGTTCTAGTACCTTACGTAATCTAAACTGTCAGAGCTGAGATTGACAACAAGGCAGTCTGGGTTCTGATGTTTAACCCTCAGGTGATGTCATCTTTATAATACTGGGATCCTTGAGCTTGGAGCCTGCTGTATTAGGAGGTCTTTCTGAAGTGGGCCTTCTCTTGTGTTTGATTCCAGTATTAGTAACAATAATCTGTCTTTAGTTACACTGTGTTGCCAATCTACCACATACTGAAAAGTGGCAGTGAGCTCCTCTGTGAGCCTCTCTTCTGCCCTCTCCTTTGGGGGAAATGTACTTTCTCTCCAGAGTGCTCTGCCTTAGAAATGGGCATTGCTCATTTCTCCGTGAGGATGCAGTCCTGGGCACAGGCTGTGAGCAAACATCCCCCAGCTGCCCACAGACAATAAATAACAAAGGATGAATGAGTGCCTCAAGTTTCCTGTTTGCAACGTCCATCCAATGGGACCTCTCCCAGAGAAGTGGATGAACAAGGGCTTGGTTATTTTACACGGGAGAACAATGGATATTCTGACGACCACTTTTGCTTCATTCCATCTCTGGCATCCATGGAGCATCATCTCTGGCTCCCATGGAGCATCACGGATGGATCTATGTGCTCACTCATAGAGTTGAGTGAGAGATGCAGCCCGGGGCACATGGAGGAAGCATCTGCATGAGCAATGAGTTTTGTTTGAAAGCGAGTCCTGTACCAACACTCCAGATCAAGTTCCTGTGCGGGTGGGCTCCTCTGTGAGGGTGAATGGTGACAGTCCTCATTCCAACACTGTGTGTGTGTGTGTGTGTGTGTGTGTGTGTGTGTGTGTGTGTGTGTGTAGGTTGTGTCTACAGGTATGCATGCTCATGTGGGTTAGAGTAAAGATGCCATAGCTCAACCTCCCATGCCTTTCCTTAATGATGTTCAACCTCCATGTCATCCTTAATCATGCTTTACCTTGTTCTCTGAGGCTGTCTCCCACTTCTCCCTAATTGAGCTAGCTGCCTGAGCTGCGAGAGCAGGGATCCCCCTGTCTCCACACATACACCCAGCATTAGGATTACAGACATGGGACGCCACACCTGGCATTTGCTAGTGGGTTGTTCTGGGAGTTGAACTCAGGCACTCATGCTTGCCATACGGAGCACTTACTGCTGATGATGTCATCCCCCCAGCTCCCTAGCTCCCATTTGTTTTCCCTCCTTAGAGATCACTACCCCGAGTCGGTCCCCTCACCAGGCTTATTTATTATTTCATTTCCATTTATTATGGCGGAGTGTACAGCCTGTGTACATGTATGATCAGACTGCTTGCTGAGTTGTCTCTCAAGGTAACAGGGAAGAACTTTCTGGGGCTGGAAGTTAGTGGTACAGTTAGAGTAGCCCTTATCCAATACTTGGAACCAGAAATGCTCTGGTTTTTAGACTTGGGAATCACTGAGGTATTTTGGCAATGGAATCCAAGAATGAACATGAAACTCATTTATTTCATATATTCCTTATACTCATCGTCTGAAGTCAATTTTATGCAGTCATTTTAAAAATTATATACACAAAACAAAATATACATTGAACCATCATACTTATGATATCCTGTTGGTACCCAAAAAGTCTTGATTTTTGGATTTTAGTTTTTTGAATCAGGGTGGGAAAAACACGCACTCTGCTGGATACCCATTGTTGTTGACTATCCAGAATCCAATCTCCCTTCTTTTGATGATCCCACCAAGTCTTCTTTCTCAATCATCTGATTCTACCTGAATCACACTCTTGGCTCAGGAGTATTACATGTCATTTAGTTCTAAGCCAACCAGGGCACTGCAATCCCCTGGGCTCTAATGGTTGACTTATAATAAATATGTGACAAGCTGAGCCGACCTGAGGAGAAAAGACACTTTTATGGACATTCTGGAAAGGAGACTCAGGCTTACTGTGGTGGTATTGTATTCCCCAAAATATTGTGCACCCTAGTAAATTTATCTGGGGTCAGAGAACAGACAGCCACTAGATACAGAGGCTAGAAAATGGTGGCACTCACGCCTTTAATCCTAGCATTCCAGAGGCAGAAACCCATCTGTTCAAGGATACAGCCAAGCATGGTGACTCATGCCTTTAATCCCAGAAAGCGAGCCTTTAATCCCAGGGAGTGATGGCAGATAGCAGAAAGGTATATAGGGCGTGAAGACCAGGAACTAGAAGCATTTGGCTGGTTAAGCATTTGGCCTGGTTAAGCATTCAGGCTTTTGAGCAGCAGTTCAGCTGAGACCCATTTGGATATGAGGACACAGAGGCTTCCAGTCTGAGGAAACAAGATCAGCTGAGAAGTTGGCCAGGTGAGGTTAGCTGTGGCTTGTTCTGTCTCTCTGATCTTCCAGCTTCACCCCAATACCTGGCTTCAGGTTTGATTTTATTAATAAGAACTTCGAAGATTCCTGATACAGCTTACCTGCTGGACTTTGGAGGTGAGAGGTTAGCACTACTCTAACCTAACAGGAAACAGAGATAAGAGGAGGCAGTCAAGTCCCGGAGGGGACAAGATAGACGGTGGACATGAGGGACAAGGTTTTGCTATCTAAATCAGTTTCCAAGACACCAGTTCTATGACTTAATATATTTTCTCAGAGCACTGACTTGGGTTGGATTTTTGTTACCTCACATGGGGGAAAGCTATTTACTACCAGGGAAACCTGAGAAAAAGGTCCAAAAGTAAGAGCAGAAGCCCATCAGCCAGGCAGGCCATCCTCACCTGAGGTTGTTCAATCCTTCTCGTTTATCAAGAGAGAACAGAACTTCAGCGCCCGCTTTTAAAGCCGTTACCTTTTCCATTCCCTTCCATCTAAAACTGACATTTTCACGGCAGAGGCGAATTGGTCCAATTTACTATTCACGTGTTGGCTGAGACTGTCTTATGGGGAACACAAATACAGGTTGATTCCTCAATAAAAGTCATCCATATCTGGTTGTGGCGACCATGCTTTTTAAATGTATACCATATCATCTCAATGACACCATATTTTTAGCTGAGGTTCAGTGCATGAAGACACCTGACCTGTCTCCTAGCAGATGCTGCCCGGGAGCAATAACCATAGCACAAATTCAGGTTAGAGTGGGCCTGGTACTCTTATCTCTCACTGTTCAAAACCAGTTCTCAGGGATAAATGACCCAGCCTGGCTTTTTAGAGCCATGTGCTTGTAGCCCTGGCTAGCTTTTATTGGATCAGAGTTTTTATTATTGTTTGGGTTGGTTCTGATTTGTGGTCTTTAACATATACCAGTGTGATATTAATAATGGTTATTAACTTGATGGGACCTAGAATCACCTAGAAAACAAGGTTCTGGGCACGCTTGTGAAGGATTATCTAGATTAGGTTAGCCTTGGAAAGACTGTCTGGTGTAGGCAGGCTGAAACAGGAAGATCCATCCTCAAGGTGCACAGCATCCTTCTCTGGGCTTGGACCTTGGACTGCAGGAATAAAAAGCTACCTGAGGCCGGGCGGTGGTGGCGCACGCCTTTAATCCCAGCACTCGGGAGGCAGAGCCAGGCGGATCTCTGTGAGTTCGAGGCCAGCCTGGTCTACAGCGCAAGATCCAGGAAAGGCGCAAAGCTACACAGAGAAACCCTGTCTCGAAAAACCAAAAAAAAAAAAAAAAAAAAAAAAAAAAAAAAAAAAAGCTACCTGAGCGCTGACATTTCTTGTTTTCTGACCCCTGACTGTGGCTGCAATGTGACAAGCTGCCTTGGGCTCTTGCCGCCAAGACTTCCCCATCATGATGGACTGTACCTTCACACTGAAAGTCAAAATATCCCTTCCCCCTTTAAACCGCCTTTGTTCAGGGCACTCTGTTGCAGCAACAAGACAATTAGGAAAGGAAAAGGGGGCATTTTGCCCCCTTTTTCTAGGGTATTTGCCACCGTGATTGGTTACTCTTATCATCTCAAACAGGCCATCTGTGGGAGACATACCTACTTAAGATGCATTGAGCCAGGAGCATCCTACCCTTACTGAAAGCATCCCGATCGGAAGCAGTTTGGCTGAGGCTTGCTCTTCCAGGGAGTAAGTGATGAGAACCCTTGATTTCTAACTGTTTTTATGTTCTTTAAAGTTTCTGTCTACCTGGCTTTGGTGACGGCCTGGCCCAGCAAGCTAAGAACTAGCCTGCATAGCAGGAGACTTATGCAGTTACATGCCAGAGTGATTCAACTAGCCAGTGGGACAGAGCAAAGAGAACCCATCTTGGTCAGAGTTCTATTGCTGTGAAGAGACACCATGACAACAGCAGCTCTTACGAGAGAAAACATTTGATTCAGGTTTGTTTACAGTTTCAGAGGTTTAGTCTGTTATCATCATGGTGGGGAGCATGGCAACATGCAGGCAGACATGGTGCTGGAGAAGCAGGTCAGAGTTCTACATCTGGATCTGTAGGCAGCAGGAAGAGAGAGTGATGATGGGCCTGGCTTGGGCTTTTGAAGCCTTTAATCCCACCCTCAGTGATGCACTTCCTCTGACAAGGCCACACCTACTTCAACAAGGCCACAACTCCTAATCCTTCTCAAACAGTGCCACTCTGTGATGACTAAGTATTCAAATATATGAGCCTATGGAGGCCATTCTTATTCAAACAAACACAGGACCTATAAGTCCATTTGAAGGCAAAGACAACCTTAGCTATTTGAACACTTGAAATACGTTTCCAGTTTCTTGGAAGTTAAAGACTAATTTGAGTTCCTTGATTCTTTAGGTAGAGAGAATGGCAGAGAGAGTCTGGAAAGGGGTTAAAACTGAACAATCACTAGCATTTAGAACACTACATATCCCAAGTAACATAAATTAACTCTACAGGCTTTTTACAGTCTAGACAACA